CCTTGCTTCTCCCTGTTCTCTCCCTGGTCTGGAATATTGTTAGTATTATGTCACGGCCGATGGCCGTGTGTCCTTATCGCCGTAATAAATATTACACGAGAGTAAATTGGATCCAAAAAGTGCGTGAAGTGTTAATGCAAAGAAATATATCGTAGAATTTACATTGACCTATAAGAATTTAATGTCAGCATTTTCTTCGCAAAAGATTAAGTTGAATAGTATTTACATCTGACGATGAATATATGTTTAATATTGAAAATGAAAAACTTAAACAAAATAAAAATGGCAAGTAACATAACAATTAATTAATTAATCAAGAATAAAAAATATATTTATATTTATATCTTCTTTTTCAAGTGTATAGAAATAATTTTGAAATTAAATGGTCAAAAGTGAGTAAGTACGTAGACGAGTGCGTACTACCGGAGAGGCTATTCGCTATATCATCGCGAGATAGTAAACCGCTAACGTTGCATTTCGAATGTACTTTCTGGACCGCCTTTGTCGATCTCGCGATACTAGATTCGTATTCCACATAAATAACTTAGAGCAAATAAGGAACGGTGCTTGATAGCTGATATTTAATATCATGGACATTGAACCCTTGTTTGTCATTCTATACTTTTATTTGCATCTGTCTACAGACATAACACATTATTTTTCAGGATGAAATGTTCTTTGTATAATTGATAACTTTAATAAACAAATTTAATTGCAACGAATAAAAATCGAAAACATTTTGTATATTAAATTTTATTTCATAAATTTTTATAAAATTTAAACTAAAAATTGAGATTCTGACATTACAAGATTTTATTAAGTATTTAATTGTATAAAAAAATTGCACATTGTTTTTACATTTATTTAGTATTTAATTATTATATAAAATTATTATATAAAATTATTACATAAAAAATTGTACATATAATGCTATTCTTTTAGACAAATAATGTTTGCATTTGAAAAATAGCTTTAAATATTTTATGTTACGAGCTCTACAAAATTTAATTTCAAAACTTTTAATACATCCAAAAGCTTTATGGGCCTTCTTAGATAAAGTACATCGTGTAAAAAATCTAAAACACATTACGAGTTCCGTTCTGTACCTCAGAAGGCTTGCTCGCTCGAGATACGAGGGCAACGAGGAAGGTTGAAGGAAAAAATCAAAAAGAGAGGACGAAGGAAGAAGAGAGAAAACGAATGAATATATATTAGATAGGTTGCGCGGCGCGATTCTTTACTACATGTCCGGATAGCGCGGCTAAGTTGGCCGCTAGTTCATTCTAACTCAACGTAACCCAACCTAGCCCTAACAGGCATGAAGAGAAGAGAAGTTAAAAGAAGAAGAGGAGAAGGAAGAAGTAGGCTCTCACCTACCTGGCGAGTCTGCGCGCTCGTTGTAGGGAAAAGAAGGGCAGGCGGCCAGGCAGTGAGCCAAGCGCGGGAGGGGGAGGGGGAGTAGGGGTAGAGGGGTAAAGGGGAGGAGCGCGCGCACTAAGGAGACCTTGAAGGCTGCTGGCCGGGTGCTCAGGGTCTAGTGCTGTGGACCCACTATAAAGGCACTTGCCATCCTGCTTGTACGTCAGGACGGACCGCTAGCACCCTCTTCCTTCGGAAGAGAAGCGCCTGCTAACCTACTACTCTCTGGCCCACACTCTTTCTCTCTTTCTCTCTCTCTTGCCATCCTGTTCATCGCATATACATACACCGGCTCGACTCCGAAACTCGCTTCCAGACCTCGGACCACGCATTCGGTGAGCTCACCGAGAAAATGAGGGCCCCTACGCCCCATCTCGCTCCTTCCCGCCCTTTCCTCGTTCCTTCTTTCACTCGTCGCCTCGTACTCGCATATCCCCTATGCTTGCTCGCTGCCTTCACGATCTCGTGTTTTCACTCCCTCCTTTAGCTCCCCGTTCTCCGCGCCCCGCTCTTCATCCCCTCATAGCTCTTTCCTGCCCTTCAGCGAATACCCGTCTGCCCTCTTCACGTCGTCACTACTACGTGTAACTTGCCTCTTCTGTGTAGTGTTTCTTCTTCATTCGCGGTCCTTCTCCTTCTCTATTTTCTCTTTTCTTCAGTCGATGTTCTCTTTTCCTATCTCTCTTTTCTACGCTTTCTTTCCCTCTCTTTCTTTCTCTCAATCTCTCTCTCTTCTTTCTTTCTCCCACCCAATTGCTCTCTTTCATCTACTCTCTCAACATACGCGTCAAAGAGAAAGAGAAAGAGAGAAAGAGGGTGTGCGTGTGTTTTGGAGGGAGTAGTACCATCTAGCATAGCAACTGCTGTTTCTGCATTTCTTCGCAGCGCGCCCCATGCGAGATGCCGGTATATTTTAAGCGTATAACGGGTGTCCTAGTGCGGAAATAAAGCGCCACAACTTTTCCAAAAACTTTGCGAATTTTTTTCGGAGTTACTCCCGCTTTCATCGTCAACAGAAATTCTTGCATTTATTACGCGCTAATTAATTTACTTAGACGGAAAAGTATCACATTTTTTTTAGATTAAAAATTCTTGATACTGCAAATTAACATATAAAATCTGGAAAAAATATAAAGAGAGATACGGAGAAAACATTTATTGTCTATAGGATTAACGTTTAAGGATTATAAATTTATTAGGAGAAATATAGTCTATTGTATAATTATAATTACAGTTAGTGTCAAAATTTTAATAATGAGCTGTAATGTTTGAATCATGCGATTTAATTTTGTGTATTTTATGAAATTCTAGAAAATTTTATAATAAATTTTATAAAAGTTAAAATTTACTTATCTAAAGCGTTGCTGCATTCTGTGACCTGATTAAAGCTGTTGATTTGCATTGCTCTACTAGTTGCGCGATTCGAATACATTAACACATTATTCGTTTCCTGTCAGCTAAATAGAATCGAGCATATTTACTCTCTGTTATTTTATCACCTTTCTTGTTATTATGATTTTTATTGCTTTTGTTATATATGTTGATGTCATATTTTGTTAGACCGCAACGATTCTCAAGCCCCGCTTTCGTGAGTGATGGCAAACTTACCCCGCGCTGGTGCAATCTCGTTCCATCTTTACGGCACGTGAAATCGGGCGTAAAATGCGCGGCGTATTTAACGCGGCATAAGAATCGAATTAAAGCCTCGTCAGAACGTACCCCCGGCTCTCACCCTCTCTTTCTCTCGCTACCGAATTGGCTTTCGCATGGAAACCTGTTGGCTACGCGGTCGAGCACACTCGTGTATAGGTACACTTACGAATATTATTACTGCGGGGCAGTTTGCGAGGGGAGAGACCTGACACGAGACATACTAAGTAGCCATTTAGATGCTACTCCTTTCCTCTCATCCATCTACCTCTCTTTATCTCTCTTCTGTTCTCTCTTGCTTTCGACCAAACTGAGAGAAAGAGAGACGCGAATGCGCTATTTTTCTATTACCTCCTTATTTCGTTTTATATTCGTACTTTTAATTCATTCGCATTCTCAAGCTAGCTCGTCCAACCACGCGTACGTATACCCTCATTGTATCGAGCGTAGCATCTAATAGACTTACGCGAACGAGTTCGCCACTTGACCTCCCCGTTGTGTCATGAAGAAATGTAGCCTTGCTCATAACTTTGCAACAAGTCGGAAAACTTTGCTTGCAATATATATAGAATCGAGGAAATGCATTTATTTATTCGTACGAGCTGTGCAAAATTGTTAGCACAATCAGAAAATAACCTGCAATTAAACTACAACCTTGTATATTTATAACAAATAATGCAAATAATTGCAAATTATTTGCGCAAAGCACTCGCGCAAATATTTCGAGTGTAAATTGTTTAACGCAAACTGTTGAGGCGATTCATTATTTACGTATTGTTTAATAATAATAACAACAAATACTATATATAATAGAAATAAACAAAGTTTGTTTCTGACGGCCGCTCGCACGTGATTAAAATTTCAAATAGGTGTAATTGCAAAAACTCCGACGCGGTGAGTTTGAGCTTCAACGGATCTATTTAACGAACGCGCAACATCGAACGGCCATTCGGCGCGAGAATGATTCACGAATCTATTCATCTCGCGATTCTCGTAGCGAAGAACCGGCCATGGGAAATTAAATGGGCTTGACCGGTAAACGACACCTGGCGCGTAGGAAACGAAAGGAAATACTTACGCGCTGCGTCTACACACGTTACCTCTAATCCACCTCTCTTCCGCTCTCCCTTTCTCCTCTAACTATCTCTTTCCTCGTTCGTCGCCGAGCTCCAAAATGACCGGCAGTTCACATAACCTTTTGATCCTGATTAGAATATGAGTGAGCTGCAGCATTCGTGATAGCTTTCTCGGCCAGCCACGATTTTTGTGCCGTTACCGCGCGCACACGTGCGCACATCGGAACCCGGAAGCGACCGCGCGCGGAACCGGTGCGATGTCCGGCCATGGTGATGTTTTTTCATGGGAAAAGTCTCCCATCTTTCCTTGTTTCGTCCCGGGGTCAGAGGTCAACGTGGTCGCGGCTCAAACAGGTTGTACGCTGACCCAATGATCCAATTCTTTTGCCGCGCGTCTTAAGACGCATGAGAAAATCGCGATGAAAATATCTCGTTGTTATCACGTTAAACTGTATACGGTAGCATTTAGAGAGCTTCGAAAACGAATGGAAAATGTGTTATATATGATAAATTATGTGTAATCGCTAATTAAAATAATATCATAAAATATTAAATGTAGGACATAATGTTAATAATTGCATTAGAAAAATATTAATATTTAAGGGAAAAGATATTAATTTTGAAAAAAATTATTTTATTTTTGTATTTTGTCAGATATAACGTATAATTGTATGTAAATATCTACAATATTATTCATATTCGCTGTTAGATAACTGTGTATCATAGTGATATAAGGTCCGTAAGATTGGTAATTGCTCTATTTACAGGCCGCCGTTGTATTGTTACGCGATCATGAATTTCGCGCGCCTCTTTAAGGACGCATCTAAAAACTTGCTTCTTTATTTTTTATTTCAGGATATACCTATCTCGGATCTTCGCTCGTTGTGGAGCCGTCCGTAGCCAGTGCAGCCAAAAAACGGTAAGTTATGAAAATTTCTTTACTAAAATGTGACGAAAGCATGGCTTTTAGATGCTTTAGAGCTAAATAAACAATTTTGAATTTCTTAAAAAAAGAGATTAAGTGCCAATTTTTGAATATTATGTTTCTACTTGTTTTATACGTTTATTTTAAAAAAGTAGAAAAACGAGTTCTGATCATCATTTAACGAATACTATCTTTTTGGATGAGGATGTGACCCTGTGAGAAGAAGCTAACGACGAGTCACTTAATTTGAAAGTACTAACAATTCATAATAGGCAATCACATCACATAATTATTTCAACAATCATATGAATATATTGCCATATAAGTTTTTACATGTACGGCAATTACGATTAATATGATAGAAATTAAAATTCTGTTAGTTTTTTTTTTAAATATTTTGCAAAGCATATTTGTTTTTATGGAATCAGTATTATTTTATTCCATTTTTCGAACTAAACTGCCAAAAGTTTACTATTGCAAATACCTATCCATTGGTGGCGAATTGTATGTGACAATGAAAACTTCTTCCGGATTGCGTGTGACATGTGTTTTAATAAGCGGTCATTTAGAAACGCGTGCGCGATAACACTGATCTCGTGCTGCATTTATTGTGAAGTGCACAGTATTGAGTCGAATTAATAAAGCCGTTAAAAACCGCTGCATCGCTCCTTAACTGATGACCGTAAATTTACGGAGCACGCAGAAAACGTCGCGACTACCGCGCTGCACTTTTTTTACTTATCATTAAATTCGCGATCAGCATCGAACATTATCAAAATTATTCAGCTGTTACGTCCGGCGACTACCGGGCATCGTCGCTAATGTGCGTGCAGATCGTACGTCTTCTCTCACACGTTTCGCATTTAATTTTGCTTCTCTTTCTTACTGTCGCGATCGCACACGGAACTTGAAAAGGTTCGTTAACCCGATCGTCTCGTCGCACGAGGCGAGCGATCGCAGAAGAGATCGGGCTTAATACCGCGCGCGTAACAAGGTGCGTAATTGGCCGCACGCGAGTAAATGCGCGCGTGCTCGCATGCAGAAGAGTTTAAATTTGTGCCCGTACGTGCCCGAGCAAAAATTGCCGCGGATTAAATCGTCCCAATGAAACTCATTCCACTACCGTAATCCGTTTTCGAATTTTGTTTGCTGCGAGGTTCAATCGAAAGCTCGTATATCTTTTTCTTTATTTCGTATTCTATCGCAGGGAATAAGAAAAAGAATTCGTTTAGTATTTTCTGCTTGTCACGAAATATTGAAACTTTTTAATATTTATTTTTGTAGAGCTATTTTTGTGCTTTTTAGTATTTATAGTAATTTATTGTTAATTAATAAGAATTAGGAAGAAAATTTGTTCTTGACCTTCAGAAAGCTGGGAGACATTTAACATTTTGAATACAATTTAATGTTGCTGATATATTTATTATTAATTGTTAACAAAAATTATTTTAAAAAATTTAGAAATTTTGTAATGTGTGTCAATGTAAAAGAGAAGGTTAAAAAATATGTTTGATCCGGATTTATCGATTGCATAATTTAATATTTGGATAGTTGCGCTGGCTCATAGCATTGCGCTGAATTGTAGGTAGCATTGTGTGTTCGTGTTATCACATGCATGGAGAATACATAGAATGTCATTTACACTCTTTACTGTTCTTTTCACATGCTCACGTGTATCCGGATTGATGGTACGTATCCTCATTGTAAATAGTGTTAATGCGTAGAACAGCAAAATATTACGTGCATCGCCGATAACAAAGCGCTGAGCTGTGATATCATCATTAATCTGATATCATAAAACGGTCAGCATTTTTATCCGCCAGAAATCATGAATTTTTGTACCTTGTCTGATAAAATGTTCATTTAATGAGCCAATAATAGCGATAATCAGATATAGGCCGCTCATTATCATTAAATATTTTGTGTATATAAAGCTTAACCTGCATTTTGTAAATGAGACAATAATTTTTATAGATATAATACATTTACATTAAACTATGAAATTTTTCCATCTAATTGATAATTTTTAACATTTTATTTTATGAAATTTTTTAATGAAATAATTAAACTATACCTGATATTTTATAAGCATGCTTATAGCATACTGTACAAGTAAAGCGCAATACTCGTAAACTGTTAAAAATTTCCGAAGTAGCCCTAATTACGTAGGACATTCTGCGAAAAGTCGAGATCTTTTTCTCAACAAAGAGAGATTTGGTACCGGAAGGATTAACCCAAATACTCGGCGCGACACGTTTTTACAAGGCGAAGTTTGGGAGCCTCTGCGCGACGCAGAGGCAGCCTCTTTCCGGACGGTGAGCCAGGCAATTCGAAAAAAAATGTGGCACCTGCCTTCTGCTCGCGAGCTCCTTCAAGCCGAGAGAGCTGCCAGGCTGCGCGCTCGCTCGTGCCACAACTGCAATCTGTTATTTCACTATCCCCCGGATTCGCGCGCGTACACTTTCCGTTTCTCTTACCATCCTCTCATCCCTTATACACCATCGGTCTTCTAGGCGTCCTACTCCTCGTTCAGAAGCAATGTTATCGATGCCTCAGAAGCGCGCCGTCGCACAAACCGAGGATTTCTCGGTCGATTAGATTAACATTCAACCAAAGATAATGCCAATTAACGAAAATGATGGAGTGATAGATAAATGACGTATGATAGTAATAGAATTATGTCTTTCCTGATACTTTTATTAAGCATACATTTGTCAATATCAGCGACACTATAAGATGCATTTACTTCCAGTTCTTTCCTTTCTTTTTTCTTCAACTAAAGAAAATAAAGAACATTCTATTCTTTGTTGTCTGTTGTAAGAAAATATCTCAAGATTATAGTCAACGAGAAAGGACAAAAGGACGATAAAACAAGAAAATATTTTCTTGTATAAATCTTTTTCTTCAATTGTTTGCAATTTGAGAACTATGTCGAAATTTTTGCTGAAGAAAATTTGACTAGAAGTAATAAAAGAATTTGTTATTAAAAAACATTCTGCTTTAAAACAATTTGTATATGTTGTATATTTTGCTTTTTATTTTTATCGAAAAATCCGAAGGGGCTTTCTGATCAATCTAATACTTTTCTAGCGTTTTTCGTTCAAAGTGTAAAAATTTCTTGTTGGAAATGGATCAATCTCGACATTCTCTCATTTTAAAGAATCTGTCATTAAAAGGATAAATGTTGAAACGTGCTGTAAAAAAACTTCTAGTTAGATATTAAAAAATTAAGAGAATTGGGCGAGAAAAACAGATGATGGATTATCACCGAATGTGACGAAAAGATACGATTAAATTCGATTATTTTAGAATACAAAAACGCAATATTCTTTTCATACACTTGCCGTTCAATCGCTCCTTCCTAGTGACGGCTATAAATACACACGAGTGTAAATTAAACGGCCATCCCCATTCGAATTTCAATATGAAAAGCGCAGATAACACAACGATCTTCGCACGATCGCTCGTGATCGTTATTACTACGCGCGGTGGGAGATTGTTATTCAAGGATGGACGAGCGGATGCCTGGCGGAGTGAGGTAGAAGAGTTTATTATACACTCTATAGAAAGGGACGGAGACAGGGAAACGGGTATCACTTCCGAGTTGTCTTCTGCAATAGACCGAAGACGCGGCTTCCAGCGGCGAGCTCGCTCGCCGTTTTTTGATGTTTAGAGCCGATGCATGGCTAAACATTCATTTCCATATAAGCCGATATGTTTCAAATGTAAAGCGACGTCCACGCGCACACTGGCAAGGCAAAGAAAGAAAGGACGAGGTGGATGAACGAGGGCGAGAGGGAGGGAGGGTGAAAAAGGACAGAAGAAAGCCCGCGGTGGAAGCGGCGAACTGGTACGAGCGGAAACTAGTTTAAACCCGCGGGTTGTCTCAACCCTCGGCTGAGCCCTCGACAATGCCCTCCATGGGATTCACCGTGCTCCCGATTTCGTCCACTTCAACTGGTTCTGCCCTCCTTGGCTCTCTCTTTCTCTTTTTCTCTCTCTCCTCTCTCCTCTCTTTTTCCCTCTCTCCCCCCTCTCTCTCTCTTTCTCCTTTACGCCTGTAAGTAGCCCCCGCGAGTGTGAGAACCGATCGGAAGATGTCTAACCCTGCATGAACGTGAGCTTCAAGCCGCAAAACGCACTTTTGTTGCCTTTGACCTCTCCGTGTGTGAACTTAATTGAAGGTGATTGAAATTCACTTTATATATTTATTTATTTTTGCGTTGTTGAGCTTTGACAGGTTTTCAGAAATTTTCGCAAAATATTGATAAGATATAATAGAAAGTAAACTGCAACAAGGATACAATTATACTTATTTGAAAGATACTTTAACTTTTTTTATCTACGTAACAATCATCAAATAAAATATCGAATGTAGTCAAATAGATATTTTTTTGATTATTTTTTCATCACTTTACTTTTAAAATGTCGTTTAAAATTTTATAATTGAAAGATGCCTTATATTTGCCAGAGAGTATAATGTTTAGTTTAAAATAAAGTAACATATTTTTTTCCTGTAATTATATATATGTGTGCGTGTGCGTGTGAAATACACTTATTATCTATTTTGATTGTTTCAATTTATTATATTATATTATACTTGTTTGCAATGGAGTTTGAGAATAATGGCACGTAAAAATCGGACGTATGTTTTTTACCAGCATCTTGAACCTTAAAAGTCTTGTAATTCGCGTGTCCATTCTACAGTTCTCAGAAACGTGTTCGCAGGAAACATTTGCGGCCTGTCGACACTTTTATGTTGTAATTGACAACCGCATGTAACGATTTTCCAGTTCGGCACGTGATACCGTTGCAGGTATCATTCGTCGCACATGTTAGACGAAAGTGCAACCGCAAAACACGACACGATGCATTGACCGAGCGAGAAAGCACGTTTCACTTTGCGGCGCATCCGTACAATGCAAGCACGTGTAATGCGCGTTATTCCGTGCGTGCGTGCGCTACTCATGCCTCGCGCCACAGACTGAGACCGGC